ATCTTGTTATCCTCCCTATGTTCCTCATCACTCAAGCGCTTCAATTCATGGATAAAACCTCTCTCAACTATGCCAACCTCTTCGGATATCAGGACGCTCTTGGCCTCAAAGGCAATCAATTCAACTACCTCTCTGCAAGTCAGTGTTCTTCGCCTCCTCTCGTACGGTCGATTGTTAATACAGAGATACAGTGGTCTATGCTGGTTATTTCTTTGGCCAATACCCTTGCGGTTGGCTCATTGGTCGCTTCCCTGCGCAAAAGGTCATGGCTATCAGCGTCTTCCTGTGGGGTCTCATGGTCATCATCATGACTCAGAGCCGCGACTATTCGAGTGCTCTGGCAGTGCGGTTCATCATGGGTGTATTTGAGGCTGCTGTTACGCCTGGCTTGACACTCATGACTGGTTTCTGGTACACCCGACGAGAGATTCCACTTCGCCAGTGTATTTGGTACTCGTCTCTGGGTTGGGGTGGCATTGTAAGTCACAAACAGAGTCTGGCATCTAAAGTCTTCTCGCTAATGACTGGAAATATGTAGGTTGGTTCATACATCTCCATGGGAGTCTCCAAGCTTCCTGTCGACCTCAAGCCTGAGCGTTGGGAGCTGATATTCTACATCGTAAGTCATCATTACGTTTCAAGGCCCTTAGGACACGGTTAACATGTCAACAGCTGGGTGGCGCCACTTGTCTTTGGGCTTTTGTCATCTGGTTCCTCCTCCCCGATTCCCCTTCTAATGCACGATTTCTCAACCACCGCGAGCGGCTCATTGCAGTCAAAAGAGTCGCATCCAATGAAACGGGTATCAAGAATAAGGCATTCGATAAGGATCAGGTCGTCCTTGGCTTTACTGATCCCAAGACTCTTCTCCTCTTTACCTCGGTCTTTGCTGCGTAAGTAAAATCATTGCCACGACAAAGTGTTGGTCATTGACTAATAAATGATTTGCAGCGCCATCCCTAATGGTGTTGTCAATTCCTTCTCGACCATCATCATCCGCGACATGGGATTTAGCACCACGAGAACTACTCAACTGAAATCCGTTGGAGATGCTGTCCAGATCATCGGCTTGATTATTGGTGGCAGCATCATCCTCAATGTTCCCAACTGTTAGTCAAACCATCTTTAGGAAACACCCAGCCAGTCAGCTAACAATAACCAGCTCGTCTACTCACTGCTACGGTTGCCAACATTCTTTGCACAGTCTCCGCTGCTTGCATGGCCTACCTCCCCCGCGATAACACTTGGGGTCGACTTGTATGCTTCTGGCTGGTCAACACCCAGTCTGTTGGCTTCACTGTGTCTCTGACCACCATTTCCTCCAACATGGCTGGCTACACTCATAGATCTCTTGCTAGTGCTCTGGTCTTGTAAGTCTTTCATCATTGATCTTCTAAGGTCTGACTAACATACTGTGTCAGTACTGCATATTGCTGGGGCAACTTTGCTGGGCCCTTCGTCGTGAAGAAGTCCGAAGCTCCTCACTTCACTGGTGCCACTATTGGACTTCTAGTAGGTTACGCTATCAAGTTCTGTTGCCACCTGGGTCTTCTTGGTAAGTGGTCTAACGATTCAAGGCGAGAATTTCGGCTAACTCCTTGTGTTTAGTGTATATTTATCTTGTCAACAGACACCGTAACAAGACCTACGGCGAGCCCAATAAGGAGCGTAGTAACGAGGCTGGTATGAGGGATCAGACTGAGTTCGAGAACAAGGATTTCCGATATGTTCTGTAATTTCGGATCTGCTCGTGTTAGCAAACGGAAGCCTGAGACTTTGACAGATAGTTATATAGCAGAATGGAAATAGAATATGCCAATGATCCTTGCCTCATGTTTTACCCTCAACTCGCGACTTTGCTGGAATTTGCGAGACAAACTCACCGCTTGATAGAACAAGGCAAGCACCATAGATATGAACACTGCCATTGCCCATACCTTGCATCTATTTTCCAGGTACATAGAGGCACAGGACTAACTACCGTTGTAGTAGCTGTCCGGCCTCCTAACTGCCTTAATCATCGCCATGATTGTCTGGATGAATTGCAAGGCTGGTGAGATAAGGTTGACGGGTCAAAAGAGGCCTCAGCCTCCAGGCCATAAGGGTAAAGAACACCAAAAGAAAACACATACTGGCAAAATACTCGTTGCCCTTACTATTGCCTAGGATCTTGCTTTTGGTTGTAAGGCTTCAATCTCGTCTTTGATCAATATCGCACGGCCGGAAAACGATGTTCGCGGGAGTGTTCTCCAGTAATGAAAATTTTCAAGAAGAAGCTCAAAGCAATTATTGCCTCAAACCCTACTCTAGACCGTGAACTCATATTGAATTTGTTAACAATGTGTCGGAGTCTAAATGCAGGTAAGACTGCAGTAAGATGTTCGTGGTATTGTATATGTATCTACTCATTGATTACATGCGGTCGACAGATGATTAATACAACCCTTTTCGTAAAAAACCTTACTCCTTGAACTCTTGAGCAATCTGACCGACATCTGTCATGTTGGCGATACCCGCGAAAGCGCTCAAAGCCTTCTTCGCCCGAACCTCTCCAATCTGGTTACCAACGTGATCCAAGAACTTGGTATGCAGGAACTTCTCATCCAGAGGCTTCTCATAGCTACCGATCGTGTGCTCAACATGGATCTCGAGTTTCTTTCCATTCTCGAACTCAACAGCTACAAATGCCTCATGCTCACTAACCTTGTCATCACTTGTAACATTGACCTTCTGGCGGAGGTCGATGACAGTTCTGTTCTGAACAGCCTCATCGGTGAACTGGGTCGGGGTTGCTTCGCCGAAAAGAAGTGCTACAGCGGCAGCATGATAGACGCTGAACTTGCCCTGCAGACCTGTCTCGGGCTTGGGGTCATCCGTTAGGAACAGAACGCGGGGGTGAGTACGGGCCGTGACATTGGCGACCTTGTTGACGTCGAGACCGTCTTTCACTGCCTTATTGTGGATTTGAATCCAGCCATCGATGGCAGCGTGGATGATCCTGTCGCATGGGTACGGTTTGAACGTGTTCCTGGAGATCTCCCAAACATCACCAAGGGTAGAGATCTCAGCAGTCAGATTTTCACGAGTGCTGACAACATGAGACCAACCCCTCTTAGCTTCTAAGCCTTCAAGGGATCCGCCAAAGCCACTCTTAGCGAGCAAAGCCGACTGTAGACCTGCTTGTGCTGCGGCTCCAACGTGGAAAGGCTTGGTGTCTGTGCCAAAAGACTCATGCATCCCGATAACTTGAACGGAGGCTATGCTGATAGCTCTCTGCATTTGCTTAGTGTCAAGTCCGAGGAGCTTTCCGACGGCAACAGCTGAGCCGACCGAGCCAACAGTGCTAGTGATGTCTGATGACAGTCAATATGGCCACATCCAAGAAGAATTATTAGGTCCACTTACGCCATCCAACATTGTAATGCTCCGGAAAAACAGCAACACCAATTTTGCACTCCGCTTCAACACCAGCAACGAAGGCCGCCAAGAATTCCTCGCCTGATACAGGCGCCATCCACTCCGCAACAGCAAAGAGAGCAGACAGCACAGGCCCAGAGGGGTGAATAGGGTTATCTCGGTGGGTATCATCATAGTCATCGGCGTGAGAGGCAATACCGTTGATGAGAGCTGCGGTCTTAACATCAACGTACTTCCCAGTCCCAAAGATAGAAGAGTTTCCATCGGCTCCGATGAAGGGAGCGCTGGCCTCGTACGCAATACCTGCTGGGGGTAGAGCGTAGCCGCCGATAGCACAGCCGGCCCAGTTATAGACGCTCTTGACGGCTATGTCGACGATTGGGTCGGTTAGGTTGCCAAATTGAAGGGCTAGAGCCCAAGTTGCTAGAGCCTTGGTAGCCATTGTTGGTATGTGCGTATAGTTTGTCTTCACTGTCTGCTGTGATAGTCCAGCACTCGAAGGGCACATCCTGCTAGCATTTATACTTCTCCAGAACCCTGTTCGTCTACAATCTTTAGGGATCTACATTCCCCTTTCTTCATTTTTACCCCACGGATCGAACAGTACTTTTGTTAAATGATACTGCGCGGTGTAACCCTCCCAGGTCCCTATTGTGGAGGCCATCGTATCTCTGGGCCCCTGCTAAGTCAGAAAACAGATAGAATTTGTGGCAGATCAATGCTTGGAGATCCTGGTCCTCAAGTTTCCGAACTATAAAAGTACATTGACCTCAAGGTAGCACGAACGAGTGCCTGTGCTCGTGTATTTCTACTTGTAAGAACAAAGTCTTACTAGCGTGGTTCAATTGATGCTTAATGTCAAGACCTACCCCGGATGTACTAAATCCCCGCATTTAAGAACTAGTTGCTAACCTAAAGGTCTTGTTTTGTGATGATCTCAATGCAGTTGAGCTAGTCCAGTCGAACGCCCGCGGAGAACGTCCGAGGAATGTGACCGGTTGGCAACCCCCGGTGTCACGGAAGAACACATGACCTCCCTCGGAAGAATCTAATGGCATGGAAAGGATCAGAAACTTTTATCCTTAGTGCATCCCTGTTTGTTGGTGACGAGTCGTCACGGAGTTCCATTTGCCATTCCGGACATATCACTTGTGTAGGTTTATGGCTGAGAGCAGAGAGAACTTAGTAAGGCCTCAATAGAGCTTGGATCAGCTATATGTTGCGAGGCATGGGAGTTGCATCAGTGACAGTCATCTTAAGAGCATTGATAGTCTCTGATGGATCGGTATCTATCTCGGTGACCGCTGTGATAAGTCGTCGTCCTCTTAGATTTGCAAGCCCGGTGCGTAGCCTTCACTACTTTGGCCTCCTCTATGACACTATCAATATGATTCGAGGCCTCTTCTCTATCCTTTCTAAATTTCATCGACTTTGCGATATTCAGTAGGTAGCGCTGATAAAGCTAGGTTATTGGGAGGTTATTGCGTTCCGCTTATTAGATACCGCACTCATTCTACAGCAGCCAGCAACCCATATCTCTCAAATTTCTCGATATATAATTTAACTTTGTATAAGGATGCTTTTCACACTCCTGTCATTGACTCCAATGGCTCGGCAACAGTAAAAGGAGCTTCAGTCTTAGCCTTGACCTCATCCACAGTGACACCAGGAGCAATTTCAACCAGCTTTAAACCCGTAGCAAAGTCCACGTCGAACACTCCCTGGGAAGAGTTAGTATAATCCAAGAGCGGTATCGTGATAGCGACGTACCAAGTCCGTAATTATGCGTGATACACACGCCCGGGCTGTAAGAGGAAAAGAGCATTGGTTCAAGATCTTGGGATTACCCTTCTTGTCTGTGTGTTCCATCGTGACAATGACCTTTGTCTTGCTCGGGTTGCTAACAAGGTCCATCGCGCCGCCGAAGCCTTTGACTTTTCCTGGGAGCATCCAATTGGCCAGATCCCCTGTTGCGCTGACTTGCATAGCACCAAGGATGGTTACATCGATACGACCACTACGGATCATGCCGAAACTTTCGTCGCTGCTGAAAACAGATGCACCAGGCTTCAAAGTGACTGTTTCTTTACCGGCGTTGATAAGATCTGAATCAGCTTCGTTGCGTTCTTTGGATGGATAAGGTCCGAGTCCTAGGATGCCATTCTCCGATTGAAGCTGGACATCAACATCGGGTCCAACGAACGAGGCTGCCAACATGGGCATACCGATCCCAAGATTGGCATACATTCCATTCTTGAACTCCTTCGCTGCCCGTCGGACGATGCGTTCTCGCTTTGTAGCAACCTCGCCCTGGCCCAGAGTCTTGACGTCTTGTTCGTTCCAGGTATATTTCTCGATGCCTTTGGCTGCAGTGCTCTGGATAACTCGCTTCACATAAATTCCCGGTAGATGAACTGACTCTGGGGGAATCTCCCCGAGTTCAACAATATGTTCGGCTTCAACGATTGTCATCTTAGCATTACGACCCATTGGACCGTTGAAGTTTTGAGCTGCAAGGCGAAACTGACAATTTCCTAGCTTGTCTGCCTTGAACGCCTTCACAAAGGCATAGTCTCCTGAGATGCTGCGCTCAAGAAGGTAAGGCTTGCCATCGAATACCTTTACATCTTTGGGATCTGGGAATTGGGCATCGCTAGAAGACCCAATTCCTTTGTTCCGAGACGGGAGATCACCACTTTGAACAACAGTTCCGACGCCAGCAGGTGTATAGAAAGCAGGGATACCCTTGCCACCAGCAGCACAGCGTTCTGCTAGCGTACCTTGAGGGGTAAGTTCCAGCTCAATGTCGCCTGTCAGATACATCTTCTCGAACGTCTTGTTCTCTCCGATATAGGATGCAACCATCTTGCGCACTTGTCTGCTTTTTAAGAGCTTCCCAAGGCCAAAGTCGTCAGTTCCGGCATTGTTGGAAACGGCTGTCAGCCCGGTAACGTCAGACTTGTTGAGGACTTCATTGATGAGCGTGTCTGGGACACCACAAAGACCAAAGCCGCCACATAGAACCGTCGTGTTTGGCTTCATGTCTTTTAGTGCCTCTGCAGCCGATGAGACAACTTTGTTGATGCCATAGCGCCCCACGGAGATGGAGAAGTGTCTTGTAAGCAACACCTTCTTCTGCATGAGTCAGTCTTCAAATATGATGTCCAGCTGAGAGGTAAGGAGTTTCAGAAAGGCAACCTACACGAGTCCCACGTTGGATCACGGTTCGAGAGCTTATGCAAATGATTGACGATGCCATAGCACCAATGTAGTCTTTGCAGAGGATACAAAAGGCAGGGCTAGTTATAAACCAGTGGGCATTGACAGACTATTCAAGGTCGACTTTCGACGGCCATATCCGCCATAAAGCTTCTATTTCTACTCTCATTCTTGTTTTTATCGAGCTCCGTCGTGGAGGCTTCCGGGAGCAGGCCGCGGAAAGTGTCCGGAATCACGCTAAAACTCAACCATGAGGGTTTTGAACAGTTTTAAGCTAACCAAGACCGAAAAGATTCATACGTCGAGTTTGAAACATGGTTTCGAGCACCGATGGATGGATCAAACATGCTGCCACTGATATGGATTGACAGATATCTCACTGGTGCCACTGTCAAGAAGAGGTGCCAGACAAAAACATTTTCTAGCCATACTCTCCGCTCGGAGACATCAACCGGAGGATATGTGATATTCATGATAGGTCTCAGCTAAATATCTTCCCGATTTGAATAGCCGCCTGTCAACAAAACATTGTTGGAATGGCCTAGATCAGCTAATCTTCCTCTATTTCATTGACCTCAACGCCATCCAACTCCTTCAGTTTCTCAACGCAATGCTTGGTCACGGGACTTATACAAGTTAGTGGAAACAACGAAGGCAAGTCCTTTAATGATTACTCACGGGGGAATTCCCATGGGAGGGATGGATCTGGTCTCGATCCAAAACTCAACGCCGGTGTCGTCCTGGATAAGTCTAGAGAGGCCTTGTTAGAATGGTGAAGATGAACTTGGAATAGACTACTTACTTCTTTAGCTGGGGCTCAGAGGCCTGCCATGCCTCGTAGCCACGGTAGGTGTAGCGAATTTTCTGCGTGTCTTGTTAGTAGGCGTGGCAGCAGAAGGGTAGATGTTAAGTACAGTCTTGTCGGCCATGATGAATAGAGAAAGAGGTCTCTACGTGTGATAGAATGATGAAAGTGTTGTTGTTTTGCTGTGATTGAGAGGAAGCTGGGATGATACAGAACTTGGGAATCTTCTTGACCTTTTATACTTGAAAACTCACAGTTGCAATGCACTCGAGATTGTGAAATAATGAACTTCTGCTCGAAACCGGGCCATTTTGGCATCGCTTTCAGCTTTTGTCGATCATGAACAGATGCGTCTCGGCATTTCATCCACAAAGACTAACTTCGGCTGCGGGATCTTCCGATCGCAGACGCCATAATGGTTTCCGTCGCTATAAATTGCAGATCAAACTCAATCTGCAACTCCATCTTACCTTACATTCAGCTCGAATCCACAGTATCAAATCTTAGATCATGTTCAACCCGTTTTATTGGATATTTACCACTTATTTTACTTTTCGTGATCGACACGGCACGGGCGGCAGATCGGAATGTTGTGTGTCAAGTCGTCATACATGGAAGCTTAATCGATATCTCACCTTTCACATGTCTTAATCACGACAAAATGGACTTTAAGATGATTATTAAAACGTATTATCATTGGCGACCCGCTAAAGGGAAGCGCTAGGGGTATCGTGGGACAGAGAAACAAATCTTTCCCCGCCTGGTAATTACATCTACTCTATCTTTTTATGACTGACCAAGCCAGATTTATGCAAGATCTGATCCTCGAGTTTGGACAACAGTCTTCTTGACCAATACATTCCATCCTTTTTGGGCACGTGGTTGACCATTGGCATCAGCCAGATCTGACTGGCTGCTATTCCAGCCATGTAGCTCTGCAACAGAGTCAGAAGCTTCTGACCGACTTCCATGTTTGCTTGTTTCGCCGTTGCCATCTGACTTGTCGTCGTGGTCGATGATGGTGGTAACTCCAATACGCTTGCCAGCATTGTCGTGCAGATCGAAAGCCTCCTCACCGTTCTGGCCGTGGCTGCGAAGGTAGCCTCCTGTTGGATGGTTGCTCCCTGTTCGCTGCCAAGGCCTGGCTGAGTTTCCCTGTCCATCTGCAGATGATCCGTGACCAAGAAAGTTACGGAGAAGAGGTCGGAGTGTTGCAACAGCTGAAGCAGTGATACCAAGTCCAGTCTCAACAGTGGACCAGATAGCGACATCCGAGGTAGAGTATAGGAAGTCGTCGATGTCGGTGAGGGAGTAAAGGTAAGGAAAGCGGATGATGGTTGCACTCGAGGCACTGTTTATATCCAAGGTCAGTAAACTATTTCAATGGGTAGGGAGGTGTTGACACATACATAGCGCCTGCGGCCAGAATACCGACGACAGAAATCTTTGTTCTCTTGCTCATTTGAAGGTTATAAACCAGGGCAATGGGTAGCAAACTGTAGGTCCAATCTGACAAACAGCTGATAGCGGAGTAGGCATAGAAGGCCTTTGCAACCACCGAGGCGTCCAAGCAACTGCCTCCGGGAGGGTTACTAGTATATCGGAGCCAGAAGAGTGCCGTAGGTCGGCATTGCAGAACAAACAACAGGAAGAAGAATAAGCTGTAGATTTCTGTGATACCAGTGATGGTCCAGATGATAATCTTGTGTGTGCGTGTAATGCAGATTCGCAACAAGAAGATAGCAATACTGGCCTTGATGGCCATGTTGGTCAAGACGTAGGTCGGTTCGCATGTCCACCACATCTGCATCGCCCTGGGGATGTTCTCCGGCTCGATGTCCTTGAAGTGACGTCCAGTTCCATATCGGACACCAGTGATCTCATAGGAGCAAAAGACGATAAACATAAACTTTCTCGGTTAGCAGGGTCTTACCAATAGGGGCGAGACGACCTACCTGGGCAATGAGGGCAAGCCAATCATCGGCGCCGAACGCCTTTACAATCCATCCTCGGCAGTAGACGCGGAGACACGTCGCAATCGATGAAAGGATCACAAAAGTATAAGCGATGGCAGCAATCTGCGTCGCCCGACTCTCGATCGCCATGGTGTTCAGCTCGTGTGGCAGACAAGAAGAAAGAAGAACAGGGTGCAGCGAGTGGACTCTCTCTACTAACCGAGCGAGCGGGCAACACCCCATCGACTATATATGCAGACATGGTAAAACACTACTCACTCGCCACGAGTCTACGGACAACAATCCAGACCGGGATAGTTTCGTCTGTGGAGTGCAGGAGATGGAGACAAAAGGGGATTCCTGTAACAGACTATCCAAGCGGCGTGACCAGGAAAACACGGCAATGATTTGCGTCTTATCTAGATTCATGTTAGCTCGATCTTCGTCACGGGGAGGCTAGCTCTGCCTGTGTTGGCGCAGCCAGAAAGTCGGGACCTTTGAGTCAGGGAGCTCCGGACTTGGGCCAATCTGCCACGAGGAAAAACGCTCTGACAGGGCGCGACAGGTTTCTAGTTGTTCTGCTACTCGGAGCGCGGTTCCATAGAGATCTCGTCCCAGGGCCTAGGAGATTGGCTAGACTGTTAGTGATGCATCATTCCGGTAATAGCGTCGGAGAACCGGATGATCTGTTCTGCGTTGGCCGAATGAGGTCAAGTGGCGATTTGTGCTTGGACCTTTGTTACACAAGGAAAACTCTGCGCATAGTGGGCTTCGGGGAACCCACAAAAAGGGTATAATCTCGAGAATCAGGGGAAATGTTTTATTTACCTGATGGCTCCCAACAATTACTCTGGCTTCCCCAGGTCTGGAGATTGCAGAGCGGGCTTGCATGGAGCCGTTTAAGTGGCTGTTTCGCCTCGAACAGAAGCAATGCTAGACATTTTTTGGTATGTAGATCGTGGTGGTAATCAATGTCTGTGAGTTGCATTGTAGATCGTAACAAAAAGAGATCGAGCATCTCGGAATTTTTCATATCCGCGTCTGGCGATCATTCACTTGGCCGAAGCGCTTGCATGTTAAGGCTGTCGAGCACAATTCAACGTCCTTGGCATGCCTTGAGAATGCTTCCAATAGTTTGACGCCCATCGCACGATGAGTGGATCATAGCTTTGACTCAGGCACTCTTAAGCTTAAGCCTAAAGCTCTGTCATGAGGCGAGCTGAGCAGCTAGTAGATGTGATTGATCACAATGCCGATGTTTTAGCTGTCATTGTAGTCTCAAAGCAGTATGAAAGCTGCGCATCAGCATCTCCAGTGAATTGTCTGATCAGTGAGTTGGCATTCTAGGGCGCTTTACGAGTCATGAATTGACCAATGAAAAACGCTTCGGAGTCTCGCCTATGATGGCTCCGGGTTAAACGCTCCAAGCATGAACTTTATATCCGACTTTTTATTGAAGTCACCATTGACTGTGGCTTGCCTGCCCACATGGTTCATTGAAACAATACGAAAATGGAAGAGAACAAGACCAATCCGAGTCATTCATCTTATCTGCTTGAAACATTGTCAAAGCTGAAGTGGGTTACCAGGCGCGAAGGATTCGTGGCTGCTTGGTACTCGTGCGGAGTGAGGTTCTAGAAATTGGGCGTATTAGCCAAGAAAGTTTTGAGTGCTCAATTGGTCTTGACTAAGGCAGTTCGAGCTTTTACTAGGTACCTTCGCTAACCCTACGAGGGATGCTCCTCGTCAAAGTGGCCACGGCCCAGACTAACTCCACCAAGCCATTTCGTCATAGTCCTACCCTAGAACAGATGGCTTGCAAGTTATTACCCTGCATTCTAACACTCTATGTTAGGTTATGGAAGATATTCTCTAACTGTCTCCTAAAATGATTACTATTATTCTAAAAGCCATCACTTTACAAGCAACATCACATTCTGAGCACTTGGAGCTTAGCCTTATTGCTTATTCATGGAGTACTCCAATCCCAATTGTTTATCAGTATCCTCAATATCAAGTCTCGCTCACAACCAAGAATGCTACCTTCGTTTGTGATCATTTTGATGTTTAGAAAACGCAGATATGTTTCTATCGTCTTATGCACTAGCATGCGCCTATTTCTAAAGCTTATTCTGTGAAACCTTTCTCAACGTCTCTAACGGCGACGTCTCTGCCAGAACAGTAGCATAAGAACCAAATCGCACGTGCACAGCCTCCTTTGGCTTTGGATCCCAGCAGTAAAAACGCCCAGTAGACCTCATCTTCTCCAAGTCAATCACAACAATTGACTCGACAGGCATAAACGTCTCTGTCCAGAACAGCATGTACAAGTTGTTTCCCAGCTTGAGCATCTGGCACTTCTCAGCATCTGCGATGCCCCTCTCTGTGCCGCTGAGACAATGCCAGGTTATAGTGCCCTTGTTGAGGTAGACATGCTCATAGGCATCTCGGGGGGTGTATCGGTACAGAACGTGCTTTCCGATGAGTTCGTCGGTGGCTTGGAATGGTTCAACATGTTTCCCTCCGAAAGCGACTGCGTTGATGAAAGAGGTAAATGTCCTGCGTTCACCATTCTCGTCCTTGAAGCCTGATACAGCAGCAATGGCTTGTCCAGTAGTTGTATCGATGATCAGGCTGACGACTTCATGATAGTCAGGCTTCAAGAAGTCCACGAAGAAGACATCTGGTCGCACTTCAAAAGCCTCGTACTTAGCTGGTGCAGTCAGACCTGCTCCCTCTCCCTCGAGGATCTTCCAAGTGACGGTATCCGCACCGAATTCATGAGAGATCTTCCAACCATTGTCATAGGTATGCTCAAAGGATTTGCCCTGCAGCTTGCTGGATGCTGGCATAAGGTGTTCCCTGAAGCCATTGGCCATTTCCTGAAGGGTTGGCCATTTAGTCACCGGCACAAAGTCGGCGGTCTCTGAAGTAGCTGATGGAACCATGCTGACTAGTAAAAGAGGCTTGAAGAGTGAAAAATATGAAATTTCGACTTGAGAACTCTTTATGGCGTTGTTAAGAAGGTGGTATCAATGGTAAGATTTGTCTTGGGGAGTCCATTCATTTGAGGAGAGACGAAGCTATCTTTATAGACAATTGTCAAGCGCCATACTGAGAAATCATCGAGCGAATCATCATGACTCTATAGCTCAATATTGGCTATAATCACTCTTGTTCCGTAAATTCCGTGAAGCCTTTAATGCAATAGTCCTATCAAAATCGGAGCTTCCCCGCATGATCATCAAATCTAGGGTGCTATCGACTACGACCTTTCCGCTTACAGAAAAAAAGTGCGATGTCCCCCGCCTGTATCTTTCTTTGGCGTGCGGAGAAATATCCTGGAAACTCTATTCCAAGGGTCTCGATGACATTTGCCCTTGTCATCAAGCCGGCAACCACGAGCGAGTGATACGCAATGGTAGCCTTCGGACTTTGATCAGACCGAAAGTCCTTCACTCATAACGCACATCCATTGTCCGACTCTCCGAGATTCATTGTGTAACTGATTTCTCGGACTTTCGACCCTACATGAGTATAAGCGTTAAGCAAACTGGAGAACGGTCAGTCTGCCAAGAGGGCGAGAAAGGGACGCAGTCAATTTTTCCGTACTATCCTAGAATAGTCTCCAGTCCAGCTTCTGTCATAACATCAATCCAATGCACGCGTAAAATTGGACTCCTATCATAAGATGTGGAATTAGGCCCCTCCATGGCCACTGAGTCCATCTGTGCCCAGACCCTCTGAAGCACAGCCGCTGCCCTATTAATCGTCTGAAGTTTGAGAGATAAGAATGACCTATGCAGCCTCTCAAGTACAAATCTCCTCCAGTCTGCCACTAACACTTTGATGTTGGGGTTTGTGTTTGAACTTGATCCAAGTGCACTTCCCGCTGCTAGTAAGATGATGGTCTGGATGGCAATGATTCGAGAGTCCTCCGGAATAGTGTTCATAATGTCTAATATCTTTACTGAAAGCTCTAAAATATGGTGTGAGAGTTTTGTGTCTTGGTTTTGGTCATCTTGTAGGCATTGCGTGAGTTCGGGGAATGCCCGATCAAGCTCAAGCCGAGCAACTAGTCGATAGCACTTAGCTATCTTACAGAGATGATCTGACGGAGTTCTGAAGTCGCCCGTACTCTGTACTGTTGCAGGAGTTGGAATTTGGCAGTGGTCTATGTCCAGACTTAGAGTGAAAGCTTGACTGAGTAAATCGAGGGTGCGGCTTGATATATCTATATCATCCTCTCCTGAGTAATTGTATGAAATCAGACGTCGTTTCTGCCGTACCAATGCCATGCATTTAGCGACGCTGATCAAAATATTTGTGCCGACTCCGGTCCATGGACACGGATAACAAAAGGTCGAGGATGGCAGAACGGAGAACACGTCGAGATATGAGAGTGCGCTAACCTCTTGATCAATCAAGCAAGAGGTCATCACTTCCCAATAGACCATTGATGAAACGATTAAGCGTTGGACGCGGTGAGACGGGAACTGAAGGTCCATGAGGTTGAATTGGCTCATCCAAATCCTGAACACTTTTCGAGCACCATGAAAATGGCACAGGCCGAGAGAAGAAGGATCATGCCAGCTCTAGAAGTTGAGGTGTAAGCCCCGTGAAGGCATCGCTGAGTGAAAACACTTACAGAGGTCATGCCAATGAGAGTTATACCCAACATCAAGTCATCCTTTATCGTTGGTGCCGTTAAGGTGGGAAGAGGAGTCAGTCTGTTCATTTCGGCGAGCTCCCTCGATATATGTGAAATAGCTTCCGTCTGGAAGGTCAAAGGTATCAAAGATGTGTCTCGCTCTTGCTGGCTTAGATGGGCAGCCGATGCACTCAAGGCACTATTGAACACAATGGGGGAGTTTCGAATAAACTCAAGCAGATCTGAGCGGTAAGGGTTGTTGGGTGAGTCAAAAGACGACAGGACCTGACATGCTGATGCGAAGTAGTGTGTTAAGAGTTTGGAGGATTCCTCCTGGGGAGAGTACAGTACAAGGGCATTATCGGTCTTAAATGGAGGAGATGGTGAATTGCCAATGCCAGACGAGGGACCCGAGCCAGGGCCAGCATATGAATGGATGCCATAGTCAATCTCGTATTTGGTCGACCATTTTACTGGACGTTTATAGCCAGGACACAACAGATTGGATTTGAGGCAACGAGTACAAGCAGGCTCTGCTTCATCGCATTTCAGCTTCTGCGGCAACTTTTAGCAAGCTATTTATAAAGTCATCCAAGGCAAGGATGTTAGACCCACGCGTTTCTTACAAGCAACGCAGCCGCCTTTGCATTTCAACAACGTTAGCTGAGGTGAGGCAGACGAGGTGGTCAAGTCGTAAGGCCAGACTCACTCCTCAATTTCTGTCGCCTTCGGGACGACGCCGGAGAAGCAGTAGACTGATCCATGGAGAGCTGCCAACCCTAAATGTGCAATAAGATCAATATCTGATAGTCCGAGTCATACAGGGAATTGTCCATACTTAGTAACAGGACTAACAGACCCTGGTAGCTTGCCAGCAAGATAAGAAGGGTCCAAGATACGAGATAGGTGAACAGTCGGAAATCGGAAGTGGGTTCCGCTGATGAAAGTCATGTGGTTATCAATTGGTTGGCTGGGATTGGCTAGATGTCCTAGACACCAGCCACCTAGGCGAATCTTAAGTTACCCCATCAAGATTACCATATTGTTTGGCGAGATAGCAGTAAAATAGCGGTAGGGGCAGTCTAATGGCTTATCATACCAATGAACCACAATCACTGCCAGAATCACCAAGTGAGGGATCGTGTTCTGAGATATTAAGTAATCTTTATGTATATTTTGACGCAGCCAGTGATTAGCTGATTTGGCCCGTATCCATCAAAAGACAGTATCGCATTCATCAAAGTAAACTAGTGTAGTGTTCCCTCCAAAACCTCGGCGTCTGTCAATGGGCCAACATACCGCTTGCTGACCCTCAGAGGCCAATAGATGCAGCCAAATACCAGAGCACCACCCAATACAACCGGTGCATAGTTCATGTTCACTGGGGTGATTGGCTGATAAGGAGGGAAAAGAAGAAAGATGCAGGTATACATGAGATAAATCACGGCAATGATGTTGATGGGTAGGCCTGCTTTACCGAGTCTCCAAGGACCCCAGCGTAGAGAATCTGGGCGGAATAAGCGCCGCCAGATTAACAAAATGATGGGAATGAGGTATGAGGCCTGTAGACTGACAACCGCAAGAGATAGAATGGCATTGAAGGCCGTCGTAGAACCAATATTGATGAGACTCAGCAGCATAAGCAAGAAGCTGACAACGACAATGGATACGGTGGGGATTTGTCGACGTTTGTCAACGCTTGCAATACGCTCAGCAAAGGGGAGGCCTGAGTGGTTGTAATGTTAGTCCCATACAACTCAAAGCGGTCAAAGTGACTTACCTCCGTCTCTAGCAAACGCCCACATGATGCGAGCCGCCGCTGTAAGGAGAGGAACTGTCGACAAGCAAGCCATGACAGTAATCATAGCAGTCATGGTAGTAGCAGCCGCAACGCTACCGGTCATGTGAAGGAAGATCTCAATGATAGGGAACCCTGTAGGTGTAGCCAAAGCCGCCGAAATGTCTCCCATGAAGAAGAGAATTATGAGGAGGAAGGCAAAGCCCAAAGGCCCGTTGACCAAGAGACAACCAACCATAGCCCTGGGTACTCCCATCTCAGCATTGTTCATCTCCTCGCTAAGATGGGTGGCACCATCATAGCCGATAAGAACGTAGCAAGAGCTGAGAAGTCCTATACTCCAAGCCACGACGTCGTTACCCCATCCAGAATTGTTTTCGAAGTGGGAAAAGACCCATTCGGCCGAGTGCTTGGTCGGTGAAGTCACAGCCATGGTGACTATGATTGCGATGAAGAAGGTGACGTGTAGCACGAGGGTCAGCTTCTCGATGAGCGGCAGCTTGTTACTGCAGAAGATACAAATAGAAGCAGAGCCGAGAAGGACGGCCCAGAAGAGTAGCGTGCCATGCCATCTTTGGAAGACGTAGGAATCGGGGTAGTTGAGGACGAGGAGGCCTTGGATTTGTGTTCCAGCAAGAAAGGGGGCACTGCCAGCAGAGGCTATCCAGCCTAGCGTTCTTCATCCTGTCAGTCTGTATTTTCGTCTCGTATCGAAGTTCGGTCGTGACTCACGAGATATATCCAGCGAGCCAGCTGGTCAGGGGTCGGCTCGTTTTCGGACTCAGCTTGGCTACGAAGTGGTATTGTCCGCCGGCGGTAGGATAGCTAAGAATGGACGCGTCAGAAGTTACACAGAATTTGAATGGGATAACTTACCTGGACGCCAGTTCAGCCAAGGAACTGGCAGAACAGAGTGATCCGACAAAAGCCACGATGACGCCGTAAACAAGGGATACTGCCCCTCCGCTTACGAGCCCAGCAGCGAGTGTACTTCAGAGAAAGGTCAGTTTGAGTCAAGCAACAACAGCGACGGGTATCGAACCTAGATAATGCTTCCCATGTTGCCATCAGGTTGACGCATGTCGCAACCATGGCAGTAAGAGAGAAGTTGCGCTATCATGACCAGTCAGCACGCCCACGCGTCTCGGAACGAGTATCTCATACCTTTGTCTGCTGAACATAGCCATGGCGCTCCAAGTTCTGCTCATCCTGGTTCTGCGAACCAAGATGCTTCTCATTGTCAATTGCAGGAGATGCCATATCGAGAGACATGTTGATTTCCAATTCGACGTTTGTGAGAGGGAGCATAACAAGAGCGTGCTCGGAACTTTATCTTGGTTTCGGTTATCATGCTTCGGAACCCCTGGTCTGGGGTAACGGCAGACGCGGCAGGCATTAGGCCTCTAGCGTGCTGCATTGGGGAAAAAAGTGCGCGTGGCGATGCTGACTAGCGTGGTAGTCGCTATCTTCACCAGGGGGAGAGTCATTGGTGAAGCCTACCCCGCGTTTTTCGATAAAGGGTATGAGGCTTGCTGTCCGGGACTGATTCCGACCTGTCCATAGAAAGTAGATATCCAGTTCCGAGGCCTCCATCATGACCGAAATATTCCCAACGAATTCAGATATCGCAGAGTGGTAATTACAAAAACTCAGGAACAAATCATAAGTGAGGTTTACTAAACTGCACCCAATGCTGGAAAAACACAAGTCTGTGTTGCAAAACCGACACTGCAAGGCGTGCATTGATTCCGAGCTGTAGCGTGCTAAGAAGTCCCAAGTCAATAGCAAGTTCTAGGATTTTTCCAGCAGTGTAAGAACTTGACGGAGCTGGGAATTGAGTTTGAACCACTAACAGATGCAAAAAGAAGAGCTTGCCATATTCATAGAAGAAGCAAAAAGAACTGATCACGCTGGGGATCGAACCCAGAATCTTCTGATTCGTAGTCAGACGCCTTGCCATTGGGCCACGCGACCGGATTATTTGTTATGCCAGAGCCGCCAGAGTTTGGCTCCATGTCACTGCAGGGTACACTCGATCGAAGCTTGCTAATCGGTGTGAACAAAAATGAAATGAAGCAACTGATTTTGATCTTGTAGCACTGATGGCCTTATCCTATGATGGGTGCTATAGGAGATTAGATAGGCAACTTGGGCCTTGGACTATCAAGGGGCCCCGGGTCTTAATCGCTTGTTCTATGGAGAAGTGTAGGAGTAAAATGGTTTGCATTCTGTTACTCAATGTGCGTTCTTGGATCATAATCATCCTGATCAAGCCTGTGACTCATCGCCCACTCCTCAATTAATGACCATTTCCGGCAAATATGCGTTGTAGTTGCATTTGGAAAGTTTTTCCCAACCTGAGGTGCCCAATACCAATGTATCAGACTCAAGTCAGCATTGCACATAAGACTCTGTCGAATCGAGTCAATGCAGTGAAACTTGTGCATAGTTTGTAACCTACCCAGGCCCCCTTCTGTTGAGTTGAAGTCCCTTACCATCTTCCGAATATCATTGAGGCAGTGCAATTGGTGGTATACATCAAGACTGGTAATGTAGTAGTCTGGATCTCTGGAGATCTGCGACGTAGGGCGGGACAATTGTGATGCCTCTTGGCCAGATATCTTAACCAGATATGGCTTCATTAGACTCCTCCACGCCTCTTCTGCTTTTGGAGATGCGCCGTAGAAGTCTGTCGTTCCCGAGCTACGAGTTTGGTTAGGTATGATTCGTCACAAGGTGAAGTACAATCACTTACTGGTCTTCGGGGAAATCTGAATTGAAAGTGACTATCTCGTACTGGACTGCGCTCTGTGCTGGAGCTTCTAAAGTTAGGAAAGTTTTTGAGGAGTGTTCTGTCACGGTATCCTACAATAAAGAGTATCAGGCCAGGGAGGTAAAGGTGATCTTGTTCTCGCCCACAGGCACAGATATGAGATAATCAGAAGAAGGTTGAGTAAGAGAGATGTAAACGCAATGAAAAACATGCACTTGGGAATCCTCTGCCTGAAAGATTGCTCAATTCGTGTTTCCCAATCTCGCGAGTCATCGAGATGGTCATCACTATTCTTCAACAGCCGATCATGAGATTCATGACTCTCCCGGCTTTGCAGGGAAGACCGCGTCATTTTTGTTGTCAGAGGATTAGCAAGTCTAAATTTGACAATGCACAACATAACAAATAAATGTCACTCGTTATATGGCACACATGAACGGGATTCCGTGTTGCTCTAGCGCTGACATGCAACTCATCTTATCCTATCCTTCGGTCATCACTACGCCGAGCCCTCACTTACTTTCGCGACGTACTATACCGTTGAGATCACTGTGCTTCTGTAGATGGTTGCCACTCATAGAATTATCCCCTCTTGTAGGATTTAGGCTGCGCCAAGACGCATGTAAGATCGAGCTTTTATCCACCAGTCACAATACGGACTACGGACTTTCAGGACTAGGAAATCCTTCGTAGGAGTATGATAAAACCCAATCCAACGAGCCGGCACACAATGCAGTTTCACCATGTCTACAAAATTCTTCCTGCACACTCATCACAGGTGCCGTGGGAAGCTTTCCGGCTTCCGTTATCCGTGCTGTTACCTCAATTCTCGAAATGCATGTCGATTTATGAGCACAACGTGACATTCCCCCGCAGATGACGAGAGTACTTTTGCTTTCAAAGAATATATCAAAGGGCTATCACGTCAATTTCGGCACAGAATTACACCGAGATGATGAGAGTAAACGGTGAATATAAGCTCATCATTACCACAGAACTTTACAGGCAAGCAACAGCGACATCATTCATCAACGAACTCTAATCTACTATCATCACGTATTTTGAAAACAAGAATCAAAAGCTTTGACGACATGAAGGCCTCTTATATTCTCGCGCTCAGCGCTCCCCTACTTGCTTTGGCAGCACCTACACCTGCCAATAGCCAACTCTCCAAGAAGGCCGAAGCCGAGAGCTTCTTCCTCCAAACCGATGTCGGTTGGTTCGACGGCGGCGATAAGAAACGTGCCGTTTCTGAAAAGCCCTCGACCAAAAGGCGTGCTCCAGCTGATGCTGACGCTGAAAGCTTCTTCCTTCAAACAGACGTTGGGTGGTTCGATGGCGGAGACAAGAAGCGCGCTTCAATCGACAAGAGAACTCCAATTGTGAAGCGTGATCAGACTGAGAAGCGTAAACCTTCTGACGCTGAGGCTGAGAGCTTCTTTCTCCAGACTGATGTTGGTTGGTTTGATGGTGGTGACAAGAAGCGGACGACCGATGATGCCAGATCAAAGGAGTAGGCGTCTTGATCTCAGTTAGTTACTGGACATTACTTTATCGCGTAATTGCGTTGCATGATCAAGCTTTGTATTCTTCATGTAATCATACACGAAACTCAAACAGGGCCATCAATAGTGTATTTGCGTCTCGTCCTCACTGTGCCCTCATTTCCATGACTCAAATTTCCTTGTCCCGCAAATCATATGCGAAAGAAAAGCCTGAAGGTTGTTGCGATCACACGGAAGGTTACATACTCAACTCGGAGCCAGACGTAATGCTGCATGGCCAAGTCGTGTACTGACACACAAAAACGTCAGCGGCTTGTTACAGGGCAAAAATCAGGATGGTGGTGGGATTTAGCCACCTTGATTAGACGAATAGGGAATCTAACCCTGGATCACTCCCAGATGCGACGATTTGTAGCTCGGCCGGAACATGCCTTATTATACCACTAAACCATTCGGCCAGGACTTGTTGGTATGTCTCATTATACATACCACGGACGCACACAGCCGATCGGCAGATCCCATCCCATGATGCCATTCTTAAGGACTATCGTTCATCCGCTCCAAGGTCTGGGTATATAACGTACAGTTACGTCGCTTGTCGCTTCATGTGTTTGATTGAACGTTATCACAATCTCATGAGCCATCTTTTCATTACCTAGCTCCGTTCAGAATCGATCATACCATGTTTTCGGCTGTAAAACCTAGACCAAGCTGGTATTATCGTGTCCAAGGCCTTTTAACAGACCGCTATCACCGTGGAGAAATCAATTTGTGTGACATCGCCGACCCACGCCCTGAAGACTTTGATGAGGATCTTTCCGATTGTTCCACTTTCTCTTGCGCCTCTAGAAACGGTTGCGATTATGGCACCGAAGATATTTGCGAATATCACAAAAAATTAGACGTAGAGGGCCGAGATTCAGACGAGGATATCGACAAAAACGATCGTGGTGACTTGGTGTACTTCGAGATGAAGCGAGACCGGCTTGCTCGCAAGAGAGAATTGTGCGCACAGAAGAAATTGGATGAAAAGATGAGAAAGGAAAGTGACAGATACAATGAGAAATTCAGAGAGCAAATGAACGAGAGATTAAGAGAAGAGAGGAGGAAGGAAGCTCAGAAGATCAAAGTCTACGAGGATGCGGAAAAAGTCGGTGATGTTTGGAGACAGTACAGAAGAGCACTGAGACCTTGGAGAACATATGAAGAGTTGGCTACTAAGGACGATATCGCACTCGAGATGCGTTATGTCAATGAAATCCAAGGCGCGCTCGACCAGGCGCAATCTCTTGAGGAGATGTCTACTCCTCTCAACCTCGGCCTCACGAAAACGTTCAAGCTCTGGTCAATCGATCACATCAAGTACTGCCCTTATCAGACTGCTCCTTCTATGTACATCGAGTTTAGCAGCTGGTTCGAATATGGCGAGTTCAATCGCGAACAGATTCAGACGTTAAGAGCTGAAAAGCTCTCCGGGCACATATATTTACTCGCAGATACTGTCCGTGAGATAGGCCATTTCACACCACCAGAGCACTGTAGCACCAAAACTCACAACTTGGGAACGAAAGAAGAGCCGGTATATATTCAGTTCTTCAACAACAATTACCTGACTCTTAAGATAAGTCGCGAGACGGTATTTCGACATTGCGAGGAGAAGGTCCCTTGGATTGCACCTTCTTTTTTTACATACTACGGCATTTATGAGAAATACATGGTTGATGAGGAAAAGCGGGAAGAGGAACAATGGGAAACTGACGAAGAAAGCGTTATAGAATGAGGGAAGAGTGTATGCATGCGATGGCTTTTTTTTCGTGGCTCTGGTGAATCAAGGTTGCGCCTTTTTATGGATTAAAAAAGGTGGCTTTCGCTGGGAAAGGAAACTCGCATCGTTCTCTCTAATTGTAGGTGTCTGAAGTGGTTTATTCTACTTGATAGGTTTTGAATTCAGAGCTTTAATCACGGAGTTTATTACAACATTATTCCTCAAATGCCCATTAAAAACAAATTTTACCTCCCGACAAATTCATATTGAAGCCGCTCTTTATAGCAGTTCTGAATTTTATTGAGATTTCCTTATAACATAACCATAATAGTCAAATCCTCCACCGTCTCCTAGTACATCCATTTCCATGTCAAAGATATTATCTGGGTTCAGTAAAAGCCTCATAAAATGGGGTTGTCTGAAAGTAATGTATAGAAACACTCCATCTGCCTTTAGCACACGATGTACCTGCAAGGTGTAAGAGACAATCATTTCCTAGTGGGAATAGCCATCAACATACCTCTTTCAAGTATCTGCTTGTATTTTCCCTCACTTCGTCAGGGGGGTTCCAAGGACTGCCGTAGATCATGGCGTCCAATGTTCCCTTATCGAAAGCGACATCTATCGAGCCAGTTTCAATTGATGGCATATCTCGGACATCAACTCTGCTCCATTGAATTCCTGCAATGTCCTTGTGTCTCTCTGTCATCATATCAACCACTACAGGAGAGAAGTCGACACATAATTGCTTTTGGTAGCCACGCTCGGCAAGCTCAGCAGGTACAACCTAAGCCGAAGTCAGTGTACTGTGATAAAATTTCGATGATCAGTCGGCTGACACTATCACCCGAGCCAAGATGAAGAATCCTTGGGTCATCCTGAGCTGTGCGTCCTGGTTGCTTTAAGAGGTTCTTCTGTAGAAATGGAAGGACCTGCGAAAATGACCGGAACCATTCGTGAGTTGGATCATTATTATTCGAGGTCGCATAGCGACGATCCCAGTATTCGGAAAGTCCGAGTTGTTGGTCTTCTGCGATTGTCATTATGGCGGTCAATCTGTCAATTTTCTCTAATTTTTACTCCTCCATTCAAAATTCTTTAGCATCGAGTCATGACTCCACACGAACTAAATCACGTGTATTCACTTATCGTGGATGGTGGGAAGCTATTCCCATTTTGAGTAGTATCATCGTGGGGTGGGTTCGCCAATCTGTTGTTTTTGAGTGCAGGCATTCCCTAGTACATACTCTTCATTCGGAATTGTTGGAGAGAAGAAGTTACATAAGGTTCCCTGTGACTGGTTTGACCTCAAATGCTCCGATAGAATCTGACTCAATTTCAGTATGTATCCAGTACCTGGATCTGTTCAGCCTGCCCCGCATTATAAATAATCAATAGTCAAACATACTGACTCAGGGGCCTCTGACGGTTGAGCTGTTGATGACCGTAACATCTTACAGTCCCCTAACCAGTCGAAAAGAGTGTCGTTGTAATTAAGTAAAGTATTACGATATGAAAAGCAAAAAATGATTTATTTGATGAGACTGGGACTCGAACCCAGGAGGATTGCTCCACCAGGAAATTGGTGTTAAGGTTAACCTTAACCTGGCGCCATAACCAACTCGGCCATCTCACCCAAGCTAGTGCTGATGCTTCGTCGGCTCACAACAGTACCTACTTCGCTACCGGCTTTTGATACATCAGCCAGGTCCATGATGCTCGAGAACATAATCTACATCTTTATCTCCTCGTCCCGATAGGTTGACCAGGATCCGCTCTGATGAAGGTCGTTGCGCTGCCAAGCGAATGGCCAATGCGATCGCATGCGCGCTCTCTAGAGCAATGATGATGCCTTCACTCTTGGCCATGCGGAAGAATGTACTGATGACCTCGTCGTTGCCGACAGTTGAGACCGATATGCGCCCAGCATTGTGCAGCATGGCCATCTCCGGTCCAATCCCCGGATAGACGAGCCCTGAGGCTACAGATGAGACAGGCGCAGGCTTGCCTCCGTCTTGTTGGAGAACCAGCGTCTTTGCGCCATGCAACGTACCTGGTTTGCCGTAGGATAGCGTTGCTGCATGATGACCAAGTTTCTCGGATTGTCCGAGTGGTTCCACTGCATGCAATTTCACTTCCGCATCATCAATGAAAGCAGAGTACATTCCCATCGCATTGGATCCACCAGCGACGCACGCAACAACATGCTCAGGCAATGTACCATCAGTCATGACGAGGAACTGCTCTCGAGCTTCCTTACCAATCACGGACTGGAAATCTCTCACAATCAATGGGAATGGATGAGGCCCAATCGCCGAACCGATTGCATATAGCGCATGCTCTCGTTGTTCAACATACGCATTGAACGCTGAGTCACTGGCCTCTTTCAAAGCAGACTGCCCCTTAGTAGCAGCGACAACTTTTGCTCCAAGAATCTGCATCCGACCAACATTTGACTTTTGCTTCTCGGTATCGACACCACCCATGTGAATCTCGCACTCAAGACCGAAATAAGCTGCTGCAGTTGCGAGCGCAACACCGTGTTGACCTGCCCCAGTCTCAGCGATGAGTTTAGTCTTTCCCATTGCTTTAGCAAGAAGTGCGAAACCGACACAGTGGTTGATCTTATGTGCGCCTGTGTGGTTTAAGTCCTCACGCTTGACGAAGATTTGAGCACCGCCGACTTCGCGGGAGATGTTCTCGAGATGGTGAATTGGCGTTGGGCGGCCTTGGAGACCGATGCGGACTTTGTTGAGGGTTTGATTGAAGGAGGGAGAGTGGCGGAGTTCTTGGTACTTGTTGGCTAATTCTTCGAGTGCTTGATGAGCTTCGGGCGGGTAGAAGTTACCACCGAATTGGCCGTAGTAGCCATTCTGGTCTGGGTAAGTTTCTGAGTGAGGTTGACGAATGCTTCCCATGATGGCAGGAGATGGTGATGGAACGATGGAAGACTGAAAGTCAATTAAAGAATATTATTATCAACCGGGCATAAAGTAGTACTAGGATCAGCTATTTATAAGATTCTCTAAAAGCCAGTGCCAAGTCATGCACATCAGCCAATATCGAGGGGTTTATTCGCAGGGCGCATTGTTACATTTAGGGTGCAGCTTGACATGAAGGGTGCAAACTAGCGCCATCAGGATGCCATTAACGTACGCCAACCATGACGACCTCAATGGATTCATCCCCGTAAAATCTTACTACATATTAAATAAAGCTAACTTAAAGCTGACTAGGAAATAAACTCCAGGATCGTATCAACGAAGTAGCCCTCGTTCTCCAAGTACATTATGTGTCCAGAATCGGGTATAGTGACAAGCTTGAAGTCTCCCTCAGCACCCTTCTCCTGCGCCGTCTTGACTACTAAATCTCTCATCATATCCACTAAAGGATTGAGGTGCGCATCATGGTCTCCTTTAACAAACATTATCTTCTCACAGCTTTCCAGAAGTCGAGGCACGAGCTGTCGCATATCAAAGCGCTTATTCTTCTGCAATGTCATCATCGCACGCAAGCCATCGAGACTCAGAGTTGAGCTAGCAAGTTTAAGTCGTTCATCTTGGTCGGGATGCTCTTCGAGCCACTCTTTGCTCGCCCAGCCGTAGTGCATTTGCCGAATGACGTTCGCAGTAGTGCCATCTGCCTCAGCCTGAGCGCGCATCTTGTCGAAGTATTCAAGTGGCATTATACCGAGAGCGCCAAAAGATGCAGGAGGGCACGCGCAGTATGCAAGTTTTTGGATCAATTTTGGGTGACGGCAGGCTAAGTAAATGCCGCTGGCTGCACCAAGTGAGACGCCGACCCAGGCGCGAATGCTGTCGATGTGCAAGACACGAAGGAGTTCGTCAATGTCATTGATCAATTCTTCCATTTCAACGTTATCGACATCTTTCACGGGAGTGCTTTGACCGTGGCCGGGATGGTCGTAGCTTAGGACACGGTAGCCTGATGTTGCGAGGCGCTGGGCAACAGGCTGATACAGAGTGGTGTCAGCGCCGAAGCTGTTTGAGAGGACAATCCACGGGCCATTTTGTGATTTTTGTGCGATGCTGTAAGAAATTTTGCGGCTCGTAGAAAGGACAGCATATTTGATGATGTTTTGAGCAGAGGCCATTGTGATGCAACGACAAGTGGAACAGCAAGCGAGGCAACAGAAGACAGATCAATATGGTAAAGGTTTGGGCCTAAAGGCGCAAAGATTGGGGAGCTGTTAAGAAACTCGGATTTATACACACGGATACTTATTCTCTGCCGGATAGTTCTCTGCATTGTGCAGCTTGAAATGTCTCCGAGCATAAGCTGACGGATCCTCCGTCCTTCAATACTCGGTCCATGGTCAGCAAGACCTGCCAATGATGCTAGCTCTCTTTTTCTCAATGATTAGCTACACAGACATAATTTACGGTTTTTACTTAACATTCGTGCAGAGTAGTATATAGCTCAAACAGTAACTAAGCACCCTCGCAGATAATTCTCTACATCTCCCGTCTTGGACAGAGGCGCCATCATCCCAACATAACCATCAGGTCTCACTACTGCAACGACACCATCATCTTTTGACACACCCAATACTTCGTAGACGTCCTCCTTCTTCGACACTCCATAAGTTCGCATTTCCGCATATGTCTTTACTCCCCCTGGTATGTGAGTCCACTCGAATCTTGACGTAAGTGGATGAACGACGATGAGGTTTACAGTGCCTGCCGGGAACTTTTGTATAATCTCGATGGATGACTGTAAGCTTGACTGTGAGATCCCGGATTCGTTGAGTAAGTCGTTACTTGTGAAGACGAGGACGTAGTAGCGACCGGTCGGTGGCATTTCTATGAAATAAGTCAGTAAGTCATCATAGGCTTTTAGATCCAAGATCTCGGAAAAACATACCGTCTTGCAAATGGCGAGCAGTGGCGTCGGCATAGCGCTTCACCTCAACATCAAGTAGTCGGCGCCCTGGTGTCAACGCGCCCAAGAGTGGATCTCCTCCTAACAGGTTGCTCTTTGCACCCAGTTCTCTTATCAGTTTACTCTCCTTGTACTGGAGTCCACAACCACTAGTGAATCCGCTGCCGTCACTGAAGACTCGAAGGAACTCTTCATGGGTGAGGCCTGAAGTCTCGGCATCTGCTGATCCAATGCGACCGGAGAACATGTGCGAGAACTGAGCGTCGAACTCGATAAGTTGGCGGGCTACATCTACGCGCTCTTGGGAGAATGTTTCGAGTATGGGGTCTATTCCGGAAGTGCTAGCAGGAGTGAGGCCGTGGATCTTGTGGACGAGTTTCCAAGCTAGGTTGTAAGAGTCCATCATTGACACGTTCATGCCCTGTCCGGCCTTGGGGCTGTGAGTATGGCAGGCTGCATAAGGTTAGCACTATAACATCGAAGAGAGTCTAAATCAGGCTTACCATCACCAACAATAAACACTCTTTCCTCTCCATCGGACGTCTTAGCAGAGAACCTAGGAGCCATGCGCTGTCCAATCTGATAAGCCGCCCACCAATCTGGCTCAGTTCCCTCCTTGATCTTGATCTCGTACGGCGCAAACACCTGCCGCGCTTGCTCAAAGATATACTCCAACGTAACGGCGCCGCGTCGCTTCTTATCAGCCGATTTCTTATCCGTTCCAGTGTCGCCACTCGTGTCAACCTCTTCAGCGACTTGAACGTAAAGGCGAGTAAGATACTCGCCCGTTGCAATCTGTTCTCTGGGAATGACCATGACGGAACCAGCATCCGAGTGGACTGCGGATCGCTTGCGAATGTCGGGGAAGTTAGTGTCGGCGACGAAATCGCATACACCCCAGATATGATCCGTTGTTTCGCCTTCGAGTTCGAGGCCCATGCATTTTCGGACCTTGGAACGTGCACCATCTGCGCCGATGAGATACTTTGTTCGAACTGTACCTTGTTCAGTTGATCCATCTGGAAGATCCCGTTCATATTTGACCACGATGGGGAATTCATCGTTGCTGTCGTCGACTGTGTACTCCAGGAAACGATGGGATCTTCTGATGGCACCCTTGCCTGCATAGAGATGAAGATTCTCTTCTAGGATTCGCTCAATGCGGCCTTGATGGATGGTGACTTCGAATGGGAAACGAGCAGGGACATTGACATCGGGAGCGAAACTAGTCCGCTCAATTCCGGTGGCATGGGAGCCATTGCCGTTGGTGTTTCCGTTTGCGTTTGATTGCACAGGATTCCAGAAGGCCACCTCCTCCATGTGACAGCCTTCGCTGATGATCTCACTCGCTATCCCCAAACTCTGAAATACTTCAAGAGTCCTTGGTTGAAGCCCGTCTGCCTGGCCAGCTTTCAGTGTTCCCGGTTTGGAATCCAGACAGAGAAGTGAAGCTTCTGTGATTCCATATCTTGCGAGTAGCAAGGTTAGAAACAGACCAGCCGGCCCGGCCTGTAATTTCCTTGTGAGTACAAATAGCTTTATCAACGAGAGCTGTGACTTACACCAATGACGACGACTTCCTTGTGTTCTTCGGAGACATTGGACAGATCTGGCTGCTGAGAGAGTCGGGGTACAGGTAGAGCCCGCGAAGGGAGGATTCTCTGGTCTCGCGCCGCGTTGGAGGTTTCTTGGAAGACAGGCATCACGAATACCCAAGATGTAATTTGAATAAGCAATGAAAATGAAACTTTTCAATCGTTCAGCGTCTTTCAAGTCATGTTTATCAACTCAGGGTCACGATGCACCGCTTTTCTCGGCACGCACCAATTCCGGCAGTATCTCCGATCTTCCGCCCAAGCCCGGAACTTTGACTTCTCGGCAGTTTTTAGCGCAACTGCCGGGGGCGGGGTTCTTTTCTCTGATTTGGGCGGAAGTCCGGAAATTCTCACTCTCACAAACAATGACAAATTCCGGATCTTTACCAGGTCGACGAAATCTACCGCGGGCGTCGCATGCGTGCCAGAGATGTCGCGCGAAGAAGGCGAAATGCGACCAGCAGCAGCCTTGTGCTAATTGTGTAAGACATGACTGGGATTGTGTCTATGGGTTGAGGAGGAAGAATGCGAGGGCAAGTACCGTTTCGGTGTTGAATGATGTGCAGCGCAATACACCGCCGTCGCCGTTATCTTCTTCGCGAAGTTATTATGATGAGGCAGCGCGAGGGAGCGAACCGCTAGAACAGGCTCATTCAACAGGTCGCATAGGTATAGCAATAATTCTTGTCTTGGGTGCTTGGGACTGACGGCTAGCTCGTGTAGACGATGGCGATGTTGTAGGTGACATCAATCAGCATACTCACGGCACAGAGTTCTACGGCACATCGTCCAACTTTGTGCTTCTCAATCAATTCTTCGTGTATGCTCAGAAGAATCTACCGCCCGGTCAACCAAACTCAAGCGGCAATGCCGGCTTCCTTTCTGCCAACGCTCAAGATGGTAGTGTTTTAGGCCACGGCCTCGTCACACAATCGCCAATTTCCATTGTCAATCTCCTTTCTGACCGAGGAGTCTTGGAACCCCCTTCAAGACCAAAGACTCCCCCAACGCGAGCAGGTGCCCAAGATGAAACCCAAGCGCGTTCGTCTCTTGAGACGAGACATGGAACCACCGGGTTTGAGGACTCGGGCCATCGTGACCCTCCCGCAGCTACCAGCCAAAACAGAGCATCCGCGGATAACTCGCTATCATCTTCAAAGCAAAGGCTAGAGCGCGAATACATCAGACAGTTCTTCAACAATCTTCACCATCTTCACCCTATGCTCGATCCTATTGCTTTCGCCAAGCAATGCGAAGAGCTCGTCTGGAGCTCTCCAACCTCCATGGAAAGTAACAAGACTCAGCGTCATTTCTTCGCCCTGTACCATATAGTTGTGGCTGTCGGCGCGATCGTCGCTGGTTCTTGTATCACTCAGGACTTTGAGCGCGACATCGATATTTGCATGAAGCTTCCGGCTCGA